ATTCAAAGATAAGAAATAACTCAACATGAACATTTCTTAAAAGCATTTTGAATAAGCAAAAACAATGAAGATGATAATGGTGATGATAATAAAAGTAATAATTATAATAATAAGAATAAGAATGATAAATAATGACGGTAAAGCAAACAACTCATTCGGTAAAAAAAATTTTGAATGAAGCCGATAAAGAAAACATGAAAAAAAAAACAATTGGCAACCACAGTAACTGTTGTATCTGTAGAAAAGATTGGGACAAAAGACGGGAAATCTATAAACGAATGAACAGATGAAACTTCGTCAACAATTAGGTATCAAAGATCGAATAACGAAATATAAGAAAAATAAATAAATAAACAAAAACAAAATAACATCAAAAAGAAAGCTGTTTCTAAGGGATACGTAAATACTTTGATGAGATTTCCAACTCGAAGTATGCAGCACACACCCTCACACACTCATGCACACAAACACGCATAAACAGATTTTACATAGAAAATCTGCCTATCCTATCTTAAGATCAATACCCAGTCTACTAAAGAAATGAGCCAAGATTCCAAAGCTACAACCCAAATACAGACAAAGACACACAAAAGTACTAAAGCAGTCTGATACATCTTCATAAACTCAAACACGAACATAAAATTTTATACAGCATGATAAATCTGTATTAGTTGTAGCTAATTTCGCAACGCCCATCCTACCCCTTTTGAACTTCCAAATTTCGCCTGCTGCTATCGATTTCCCTATATCCCCCTCATTTTTGATATATTCCGTTCCCTTGGAAAAAAAAGAAAACTGCGAAAAAAAAAAAAGAGAAAAAACTGAAGAGGAAATCAGGAACAAGTGGTCAGGAGGCATACGTATGTGTGCAAAAAAATAGATTTCTGGCACCAATAAATTTTTTTTTTCCTCTCCTTCCTTATTCTTCTTCTTCCACCCACGTCATCACCTGCCAAAAAATTAAAGACTGACCCAGTGCAAAATTTGTCGCTCAAATTTTCGTCTGTCAGAAAAAAATGTTTCAGAGGCGACGAAGGAAAGAAACCAGTAAAATACTAATGTGCGAAGAGAAATAAACAAAATAGTTGTATAAAATAAAGAATAAAAATGGTTAAAGAAATGGGAAAAGAAACAACCTGTGAAAAAAACATAAAAAATAAAAAATAAGAACAAAAAACAGACCCATCTTCGCTTTTCTTCCCAAATTCTTTCATTTTCTTTCGACTCGCATATTCCCCAAATAAATCTCGAGTGTATTTACACGGCGACGATGACAACAACGGTAAATGACAAATAGTTTGAAACACGTAAATGTAATGGTGATCGATTTACAATAATTAGAAAGATGAAAATGATAAGGAAGAGGAAGAAGAATAATGAGTTGAACGGAACCAAAACGTGTACAGAAAAAAATTTCAATAGTACACAACCACCACCGACACCACCCAAACTGAGAACGATCTACGTAAATTATGCTAGTTTAGATACACAACCAAATAAACAGCGTAACCGAAAAAGAAATACATCATCCCCAAAAAATCAAGAAAAAAAAACGGAAGCAAAAAAAAGAAACAAAAACCACATACTGCACTACAAGCTGAAAACATAAGATTGCATACTTTGTGACGAACATTTCAGACAAAAGATCCTTCCCCTTTTTCCCAATAGCAAATAAAACAGTGTCAGAAAAAAGCCATAATACCCCTCACAAGAAAAAATATTTGTAAAAAGAAAAGAGTCAACCAAAAGCCGATAAAACTTCTGTCACTGCTTTTTTTCCGTTCCCCTTTTTTCATTCATCACACAAGCTCTGCGACTACCATCAAAAACAGAAAAGAAAAAACTTTTTTTTTAATGTCGAAGCGTTTAAAAGGTACAGAAGTGAAAAAGAAATGCATTTTCCAAACTCTACCTGTACATAAACTAGATGTCCAGCATAAAAAAAACTGATGAGCACTAACAACAAAAAAGAACGACGACATTCTGAGAAGAGGAAAGTGAAAATGATTTCAAATTCAGTTATTTTTTTTCATTGGCAAGATAAGAAATAAATATATAAGAACTTTTTCTCCTGCAGACAGATTTCTTCAACAATGATCAACAAAGCAGGATGAAAACGGGAGAATTCATTGATTCAACCATCCTTTCCCTTGTTATTTTTTTGCATTCCTTCAAAACTGAAAAACACAAATTACTCCCCTTTTCAACCTTTTCAACCCAAAAACAGCGTCGAAGAAGTGCGAAGACTATTTAGAGAACAACCAACAAGAATACTTTATATGCCCTGCAGAAATATCGAATATATCAACGAAAGAACGAAGGAACGAATGAACGAGTGAGTGGATGGGTGGGTGGATGATTAAACGAATGGATGGATGAATCGATGAATGAATAGGTGACTGAGTGAGTGAATGGATAAATAAATAGCGTACAAACGAAACAAATCAACAAGTGATCTAAATAAATAGTAAGTTTAGAAAAAAACGCAAAAAAAAGCAGAAGATAAAGCCAAAAAAGAGGCCGAAGATAAAAAGGAGAGAACCTTTTGCATCTATAAAGAGAATAAGTGAAAGAAACAACAGAAGCGAAGAACAAAAAAAAGAAACCTATCATCTACAAATCAAATATCTTTCATCCAATGAAATCAAATATCCACAAGACCTGATGCACCAACGACAATGGTGCTGATAATGTTAGCAATGAAAAAGTAAGACAAGGAAATTGATAAGACGAAGAGGAAGTGTACTAAGCAAGATCAAGACAAAAAAAAAGACTACATCAAAGACGTAGTGAAAAAAGAAGCGAAAAAAACAATATGTTGAAAAAATTCTAAATAATGATAATAGCAAAAAAACTGCCAAAATACATACAACCTCTATTTTTTCACAAACCAGCTAGATACTGGATAAGATAAAGAAACAGACATAAACATAGATCGACACTCACCCACTCGTTCACACACACAAACATACGACGAATGCATCTAAAGCAACTTTAACAAAATCTGAAGAGACCGATTGATTCATTGGAATATATCAGTATGCGTCAAATATATCAGCAAGAAAATAAAAAAAAAAGCAGAGACAGAAAAAAAAAGTGAAGAACAGAAGAGAAAGAAAAAAGAGTTGTTAAAAAAGAGCTATAAAAAATTCATATCAGATAAAAACACGAAGAAAAATCCCCAGCAAATATAATTTAAAAGATGAATACTCACGAAAAAACAAGCACATAGTGTGTGATAATTAGGCTTGACCAGCAAGATTTGTGCATTTTAAACAATATAAACTGTATTAAAAGAGTGAAAACGCGAAAAAAAAAGAAACATAAACCAAGATGAATTTATTTGAACCGGATAAGTGTTTGTTTATTTCACTATGAACAACACAACACGAATGAAACCGATACATACAACGCACAACTTCATTTCTGCAGCTATGCTTCCTTAGCAATAACTTGAGCAAAATCAAGCCAGTCTTGATCATCATTAATTGATCGTGGAGGATCCTCCTAAAAAATAAAATCAAAAAAAGTATTATAATCATTTAAAAGTTAATTAGACTAAACAACTGGCTTAGATAGGTGTAATAGAGTAACTATTTGCTGATATGTATTACCTCTTTAGATGCAGTTTTTGCGCTTACTGGTGCAAGCGGTTCATCTCTTAAGTACATTTCCATTTCTGATGCCGAAGATGTCTGAATCAGAATTTTTATATTGCAAATGCTATCAAACATATCTGCCATCATTTTTTTGTTTTTTAAAAACGATATAGAGTAAAATCTCAAAAAAAAAAATAAGAAAAAAATTGAAAAAAAAATTATTTTTTCCCAAATTTTAAAAATCATTAAGCTACCTTAACGTCTGTGTAGATAAGATCTTCAAGCACGTCTTCAAAAGCACTTGCACTCAAGCTGCACGTGATATCACTGATACTCGTATTCCCGGCAACTGATGAAACGCTAGTATCATTATTTGCTATTGATGATGCCGGCATACCACAGTGATTCCCACTGTTCAACGAACTGACTGATGCCGGTGTGTATGGAGCTGAACCTAAAAAAAAATTAAAAAATAGAAAAAATAAAAAATAAAAAACAAAAGTAAAAAAACAAAATAATATATCTGACGTAACCGATGGAAACAGACAGTAATAAAATGATTGATAATTTTAATTTATATAAACAAAAAATAGCACTGAAAATCCTAGGAAGTCTTACCAGCTACTGATACAGCTTCTACACTTCCTTGAGAATGCATAACGGTCTGTAATTGTGTTCCACCAGGGCTAACTGACGGCCCAACAGAGGCTGGGTTATGACCACTACCAGGAGTAACTGGAGTATCAGGACCCGTATATTTGCTAGGAACGGATGAAGCACTAAATTGTTGTTGTGATTGTTGTTGCTGCGATGGCTGTTGTTGCTGCTGAGCAGGCTGCATCGTTGTGGGGCTAAAAAATAAAATCAATTAATAATAAATGAAAGAAGAGGTCCAAAACTATAAATTTTGAAAAGATTTGACTATGAACGATTTAAACCTGCGTACTCCGTCTGTAGCACAAACCTTAATGACGTTCCACACGGACTCACAACAGGAAAACTGCCGTTTGGTGAGGGCATCCAAGTGGTTGATGTAGGAGGCACTGAACCTGGATTGAACGGTGACTGTGCCGGCAAATCTTGTCTCTGGCCTCCATTGGTTCCCGTAGCAGCAAATGATTCTGACTTGATGCGTTTCAGTGACGGACCACTTCCAGCTTAAATATCGATTGTTCACGAAACGTGAACGAAAAAAAGAAGGTATACGAGTTCCCACAAAATGGTAGCGAATGACAATACATAAGTACTAGAAGAAACAAACCTGAGCCGGTAGCTCCTTCATTTTCACCTGTTCGTTTCAAAGACCTACTCGTCATCACGTCCGAAGAACTTTGAGGAAGTGGGACAGAATTTTTTGAAAATGGAGGAGATCGTTGCTGTGACTGCTGTTGACACATATTCATCGGAGAATCAACAATCTCCCAGCAACCGGAAGATGGATCTATTCTCACCTCATTTCCATTGCCTCGTTTAGCGGCTTCAGCAAGAATTTGAGCAATGAACTGATCAATTTCAAAATCGTTCCATGAGAATCGTATTCTGCAATACAATACAGTAATCTTTTACTGCATTGCAAAAAATACTTCTAGTATTTCAAAATCTTCTTTAAAACAGCACAGACGTACTTGCAGTAAGGACAAACAAACGAATCGTTTTCCAAATTATGCATCAAAAATGTTTCCAGATCAAAACAAGCTGTATGCTTGCAGTTAACACTTCGAGCTGGGGCTCTAATTCGTTGTGGTCCTAACGAGTATAATGGAATACGTGATTGCGATATGTCCATTTGAATGAGTTTGAAAACTGGAAAATTAGAACTTTTTTAATTCTAAATCTTTTCCATATCCCGTAAGTTTTAAATAAAAAGTATATGCGTTACCAAAATATTATAAAGATATAAATCTTTTCTATCACAAAAGATAACCAGATGAATTAAATTTGGCATTAAAAATCAAATTATAGAGCATGCCTTTTTGTTTTGAAGCCATTAAATCCATCCTCCTCTGTTTGAATATTTCGCTCATTACTTGTTGGACAGGTTTCCAGCGTATATATTGCAATGTAAAAGAGTGCGACTGGAAAAGGGAAAAGTAATGCTAAACAAACCAATTTTTCAATTCCAATACATAATTGCCAAAAAAAAATCCACATGAAACTTTGAAATTCTTACATTAAAGCAACTGGAGGAACTAATGACCAATTTGTTTGTTGCTTTTTGACAATAATTGCCTAGGTACAGCGCCCTATTGATATCCATAATTTCGACCCTAACGGAATTTAAATATACCTAAAACAGTATTCAGTTTCTTAAAACACATCCAGCAAATAGTTGTTTCATTTGAACATTAATATTTTAAAGAACTGAGCATACAGATATATTTGAAATCCCATCGTCTCTACTGCCATCTGGAGGTGCTGGCCAAACATTATGCTGCATAATTTCTCCGACATTATTAATCATATTGCTTTTGAGTTGTATATCAATTTCGCCTCTGAAAAAACAGTTTTGAGCCTATGTTAAAAAAGCGTAGGAGTGTTGTGTCAATATAACAGCTAATCACCTTCGCAACTGTAAAAATTTTTCTTCCGGAATGATGAAGATGTAATCAACAGAATTTGAGTCACGACTGAAAACAATAGACTGTTCGATCACCTAAAATCAAATATAACTGAGCAACTACTGCAGATTCTGCAAACGTACTCTACAAACCTCACAAAGAAAAAAAAAACATAACGTCAGTCTTTGGTCTCAGAGAACAACTAATTTTTCTTCCCAATAATACCGTTACCTCTTCACAAAATGCCATTTTATTCTCTGTAAATGGGTAAGGAGGTGCTGTCCGAACTACACCGTCTGTTGAATCACGAAAATTAGAATTCGGATTTGGGTAGGCAACAACTTGCTGCCGTGTTATGTCATTTTGCATTTGGGAATAGAGCATGGGAGGACCAGCACGGATCTGGAAGGATAAGATTTTACTGCAAAGCACATTAACAGTGGTGGAACCACGCTGAACAAGTTTGAAAACTTACAATCACTGACTGATTAGCAGGCTGGGGAAAGGAAGGGGCACCACTAGCATAGGCAGGGCTAACTGGACCGGGTGCCCGAGCTCGAATGAAATCACCGGAAGATGACATCATATTTGCATTATAGCCGGGCATCATCATCCCACGGACTTGCGAAGGCATCATCGGTTGTGACATTCCAGGTGTGCGCTGTGTTGCACTTGGAATTGCCGTTGGATACATTGGCGAATCAACAGCTTGCTGCTGTTGTTGCTGAATACCTGAGTTATGCTGCTGCATCTGCATAAGCTGTTGCTGTTGATTGTACGACCGCATTTGTTGAGCAGTGGCAAATTGTTGCTGAAAATGATAATAATTTTCGAAAAAAAATAACTACGTAATAACTTAAATTAATTTAATAATGCTTCCTCAAAAAAAGGGAATAATTTCTATAAGATAAAAGAAAATACAGGTGAATAAATAAATAAGGAACCTGGCATCGATACTGCATTTGCATATTAGAGCCAGATGCCATCATCATCTGTTGTGGATGCGGCCGGTTATAATTTCCGCTATCAAACATCGCCTAGAAGTATTGTAAAAGTGCTTTTGGACATCAAAGGATAAACTGCCTCAAATAGAAATGTTGCAATAAAAAAAATCTTTTCCTCTTTTATACTTCAATTTAATATTTACTTTTATTTTTTTTACCTGCCCGTAGCCAGGATTTCCAACATACGAACTTGTTGGTACACATTGTGGCCCCATGTACGAGCCAGGTCTTGATCCCGCCGGTTCTGCCGGGTAAGACTGCTGCATATGGTTCGGTGAAACGAACGAGGGAGAAGGCATTTGACCTACAATTCAAACAGCTATTAAAAAAATAGAAGGGACAAGAACAAAGTTTTATGCAGGCCAGTAAAATGTAACGTAAATGTAACGCATTTGACTGTATGGAAATTTATCATGGCAAGAAATTACAACTAACCTTGCATGTATTGCTGATATCGCATCGATGATTGTTGCATTTGCATTGTTTCCGCTTGATTCCGAGCACCCATCGGAACCATACCGTAATCGGATGACATCGGTCCAAATGCGGGTGACATCTGAGGAGCAGCTAGCGTACCGCCAACAGATGCACCAGCCATCGAACCTCCTGACGGACCACTCCACATCAAAACCGTGTTATTTTTTCCGTTCTCACAAAGCGCTTTTTCTCTGTAAAACAAACTATGAAAATTACTTGTAACTGAAAAGTCATAAATATTAGGTAAGGGGAAGAGCAACAGTAAGGCAAAAAAGTAATAAAAACAAAAATGCCGAATAATAATTTACTAAAAATGACACATAACAGTACGCAACATCCCACGCGCAAATACAATCATTTCTCTTGCAGAGAAAAAATTTTAACATAAGAACTTTTGATTCAAGCTAATTCATCAAAAAGTTCAGTTAGTATTTCAAAATAAGACAAAAAAAGCAGCATATCGAAGAAAAAAAATCTACATAATACTCAGAAAAAAGGAAGAGAATTTGAGGCAGTGTTAAAAAAAGGGAGGCATATAGTGCCAATAACACGTTGAACTCAACCCTTACAATACCAAAAAGTACTATTAAGGTAGCAAAACAGCAATTAAACAAAAAGCAAAGAATATTTTCAAAAAATAAAAGAAAGAAGGTGAGCAAACTACTTCTTCTTTCTTCCATTTCACTTTGACGTTTTACTCTATCAAAAAACCGTAAAAGATATTTGCAGCTAAATTTTCAGATTATAAAACAAAGAAGTGAAAAGAAAAAAAATATTTCCTCTTGCTTCTCTTCTCCCCCCTACCTTTGCTCCCACTACCCTAACTTCTTCATCACTATCGGTAAATTTTAACGGAAGTTTTGTTTACCACTGAAAAAAAGCAACACAATATAATTCCATTCTGGTTGTAGCAACTACCAGTAACTTCGATGCTGAGAACAACAACAACAATACTAGAAAAAAAAAAACAACATTGATTAGGTGTATACCAGATAAATTTTTTGACTAACCCAACAGACTTATTTATCCAGAAAAAATCTTTTTCGTTTAATTTTTTTTTCGCCATTTTGCCACATCCTGAGAGTCTTCACAGAACGATCAGACTAAGACAATAAGAAAAAAACAAGCACAAACATCGGAACTAGACAAGTGCATTAAAAAATATAAAAAAGTCGCTATCGCCAAATGACTTGAAACAATTTTAAGCGAACTAGTGCGTGAACGGTGAGCGAGTTAGTGAGTGAATTAATGACTGGCTGAGTTATTGAAAGAGTTAGTAGTGTTGATTAAAAGTTCAAAAACATAAGCAAAAAAA